GGCTTCTGTGACGGTGGCGCGGCGCAATCAAAAAGATAACATACTGGCGTGCATCGTGGTCCAGGGCGAATCGGCCAACCGTGCAAACGCGAGTATGTTCTCGCGCGGACATCACGCTCGTTTAATTTGCATAATCCCATAGCGGGGGACCGTTAACCAGAAAATGTTCGCAATGGCGGGTGGGTCGAGGGGAGTGAGAAGGAAGTAAAGAGCCGGGATAACAAAGCCGCCGAAGGGGAAACGAAAAGGGGGCATGCGGTGACGAGAAGGGAAAGAGTGGAAGATTAATGCGCGAGAAGATGCGCAAGGAAAAGATGTTAACAAGTAAGAAATTGAGAAACATTATAGGGGGAGGGGGAAGAATCGATGAAAGACTAATTAGAAATAAGGAAAATATATTCTGTTGAAGGGATCGTGACAAAAATGATAAGTTTTGAATATATTGGTTTTTTAAGATAAGGGAAATTGAGGACGTTTCTGAGGAATAAAGAGGATTATAATTATTTACGAGCTTTTTTATTTAAATGTAATTACTTAATATATAATTATCCTAAATATTATATTATAATATTTACATAACATAAATAATATAATAATAAAATATATATAACAATTAAGATAAATGGAATCTTTTTTGTTTAATCATGTATAGATGATATTATATCACATGTTCAAAAGATTTTTATAATGAAAGTAATGTATTACAGATTGATTATTAATTAGTGAATTAAATTTAAAGAAAGTTTTATAATCCTGCATATTTATATAAATAGCCATTTAAAATCATTCCTAACGTACGAAAGAAATTTATGAGATATAAAATAATAAACGCAAATAAACCTCTTATAATAAAATTCCTGATATTCATTTATTATTATTAATTATACTAATGTACATATATATTAATATATACTAATGTATTAATTATACGAAGATAATATAATGTATAGATAATATGATGTAAATATATTATTTAATATTACTAATGTATATATTTATCTACATTAATAATAAATATAATGTATAATATACTGGAAATTATAATTATTCAAATGGAAGTATAATTAAGACTTAGAAGAAAAAATTGAAATAGAAAGAATGAACGACGAAAAGAAAAATGAAAAGAAGAGAGATTCGAAATCGGAAGACGAGATTAAACATAAAGAAAAGTGGCAAAAACGCGTTTACTTATCACCAATCGATCCTTCCCTTTTCCTTTTTCCATTCCACGATAATGTAATAAATATGACAGATATAATTTTCATCTATGCATTACATATACGTATACTTGTTAATTGAATAATACTAAGGTGCTTATTACGGATCAATCGTTAAAGACGAAAAAAATACGTTTCAAACGAGGTTCAGGAAACGCGGTGTTTGCATTTC